AGAAATCCTGAGATTATGCTAAACTAGGAGTTCCTCCTCCACCTCCACTTCTACAGATTTCCCTAAAATTGCAGATCCTGCAGGTTGAGCAGGACTTTCCCATACAATGACTGATTCAGGAGCAGGGGACAATTTTATGGATTTTTCCACCATCATGATCTTCCGTCTCTCACTACAACCCAAGGTTACACCGGACGTGGTAGAAACAATAGGTGGATCTCCGCTGGCATCAGGCCTTGTTACACAGGAGACTGCACTGATGGAAGTGGTGACAGGGGAGCACCACAAAGTCATACAGTTTAACCTTATTACCTCCTCACATTTCACCATGATTTTAGGGGCATGCTGGCTTACCACCACAATCACCATATTCATTACCTTCCAATCCAGCTTCTGTAGGGAGAGTTGCTTTCCTGTTCAAGAACTCAAAACCCTAGAAACCAAGACTGAGGGTACCACTCTGGCAACCCAGACATTCCCCACATAACAGCAACCATATGAGAACTAGAAATGCCAAACCCATACAATGGGCCACATCTTCCTGCAAAATACTAAGACTGCCAGGATATTGTCATAGAACAGAAAGCTGACTCACTGCTTCCACATTGTGTTTATGATTGCCCCATTGACTTTCAGCCCAGAGCTAACGTGCTATTCAGGCATGTATATTTATGTCAAAACCAGAGCTGGCAGCGTTAAGTGAGTACCTTCAGGAAAACCTAGCTAAGGTTTTATTTACCTCCTCTGCAGGAGCCCTAATACTCTTTCTGGCAAAAAAGACTGCTCCTGAGAGTTTGTGTAGACTACAGGGCACTGAACATAATAACTATATGCAATCAGTACCCCTTACTGGTAAAGCCCAGAGGACCTGGACTGAGTCCGGTCAGCTCAGGTGCAGGATATCCTAGTTCAGTTTGTAATAGCATATTCAGAGGCTATTTAATTTAATTTTAAATTTTTATATATACATATATATATACATACACATATACATATATACATACACACACACACACACACACACACACACACACACATATATATATACACACACACACACACATAATTATGGTCCTGCCATAAATGCAGGGGACTGGACTAGATGACCTCGCAAGGTCCCTTCGAGTCCTATGATTCTATTCCAGTAGTCCAAAAGCAAGCCACGACCACCATGTCCACGAAGTTCTCAAACGATTGCACTAGCATGATTTATATGGAAAACTGGAAAAGTATGCATTTGACCAATCATCCTTCAAGATTTTGGAGTTCATCCTGTCAGCAGACAGACTATGGATGGACCCACAGAACGTGTCTGCAATTTGGGGTTGGGCCAAACACTGAATCATCTGAGACATCCAAAGGTTTGTGGGGTTTGCCAACTGGAGGCCCACCAATGCTTTGAACACCTGAAGACAGCTTTCACATCTCCTCAGTTGCTGACTCTGACTTTGACACTTGGCATGACCATGAGTTAACCAGCAAGTTAAGGAAGTATGGGCTGGATGAATGCACTATAAGGTGGGTAGAAAGCTGGCTAGATTGTCGGGCTCAACGGGTAGTGATCAATGGCTCCATGTCTAGTTGGCAGCCGGTATCAAGTGGAGTGCCCCAAGGGTCGGTCCTGGGGCCAGTTTTGTTCAATATCTTCATAAATGATCTGGAGGATGGTGTGGATTGCACTCTCAGCAAATTTGCGGATGATACTAAACTGGGAGGAGTGGTAGATACGCTGGAGGGGAGAGATAGGATACAGAAGGACCTAGACAAATTGGAGGATTGGGCCAAAAGAAATCTGATGAGGTTCAATAAGGATAAGTGCAGGGTCCTGCACTTAAGACGGAAGAATCCAATGCACCGCTACAGACTAGGGACCGAATGGCTAGGCAGCAGTTCTGCGGAAAAGGACCTAGGGATGACAGTGGACGAGAAGCTGGATATGAGTCAGCAGTGTGCCCTTGTTGCCAAGAAGGCCAATGGCATTTTGGGATGTATAAGTAGGGGCATAGCGAGCAGATCGAGGGATGTGATCGTTCCCCTCTATTCGACATTGGTGAGGCCTCATCTGGAGTACTGTGTCCAGTTTTGGGCCCCACACTACAAGAAGGATGTGGATAAATTGGAGAGAGTCCAGCGAAGGGCAACAAAAATGATTCGGGGTCTAGAACACATGACTTATGAGGAGAGGCTGAGGGAGCTGGGATTGTTTAGCCTGCAGAAGAGAAGAATGAGGGGGGATTTGATAGCTGCTTTCAACTACCTGAAAGGGGGTTCCAAAGAGGACGGCTCTAGACTGTTCTCAATGGTAGCAGATGACAGAACGAGGCGTAATGGTCTCAAGTTGCAGTGCGGGAGGTTTAGATTGGATATTAGGAAAAACTTTTTCACTAAGAGGGTGGTGAAACACTGGAATGCGTTACCTAGGGAGGTGGTAGAATCTCCTTCCTTAGAGGTTTTTAAGGTCAGGCTTGACAAAGCCCTGGCTGGGATGATTTAACTGGGAATTGGTCCTGCTTCGAGCAGGGGGTTGGACTAGATGACCTTCTGGGGTCCCTTCCAACCCTGATATTCTATGATTCTATGACCTTAACTCTACTCCTGGGTCTGACAACCCACATTATGGGCCCTGACACTTGCACAGCGCACATGGTTTTGCTAACGTGCACATTGCAGATATAAAAGTAGGAGGATCTTACTGCTCAGCAACATATGTAATATTTGTAGGAGTTTTATTACAGCGTGATCTGTTGATGGATGGAATAGTGTCCGTGTATAAGTAGAAAGGGAATGTTTAATTTTTTGCATAAATATATTGTTTGGTTATATACTGTACTGCACATGAATAATATTTTGTGCTGAAGCTTTACCTCAATTTTTTAATATTTGGTATCAATACTTATTTTGTATTGGAAGCGTACCCATTGAGAGAATGTGCATGTCTATTTTAATACTACAGAAACAAGGTGGGTGAGGCAAAACCTTTTATTGGACCAATTTCTGTTGGTGAGAGAAGTTTCGTGTAAGCTCGAAAGCATGTCGCACTCATCAACAGACGTTAAGGCAAAATAAAGCTTGAGTGGATTGTGGCACTTCCATAGATTCTGAGGCCAAAAGGGACCACAATGATCTAGTCTAACCTAATGCATAACACAAGACATAGAATTCACCAAAATAATTCTTCTTATGAATTTTTAAATATGTTATTAGACCTCTCATCGTATAAGAACGGCCACACTGGGTCAGATCAAAGGTCCATCTAGCCCAGCATCCTGTCTTCCAACAGTGGCCAATGCCAGGTGCCCCAGAGGGAATGAAGAGAACAGGGAATTATCAAGTGACCCATCCCCTGTCGCCCATTCCCAGAACCAAAGCATTTGGTTCGGTGCTAGCTGTATTAGGCTGTAATACACCGAACTGTAACACCCTTTCAACCTGAGCCATCTTTTATTGAAGTTCTTTGTGTGGCAGAATACAGTATATAAATCGCAGTTTGGATAAACATCACATTTCTGGTGTAATGAAGAAATGTTAAATGAATTATTTTGTCTGACGCAAATTTAATTGTGTAGAATAGTACAAGTCTTGTTTAATACAAAAATCATTTAAAATCAGTAATTATTTCAAAAAGTATAATTTCTACTCTTCAGGCCAGCAAATCATCTTAAGTGTGTGAACTGGTATATTTATTATACAAACTCCTTGTTAAAAAGAGAGTAGAAGGTGTTGTTTATAGTTAGAATAAATCACTATCTTCTGCTACCGCAAATTGCCAGTTCTCCACCAACCTCCTCAGCAGAGTCTTGGGCTCCTTTGGGAAGCAGGAGGTTGCTAGGCAGCACTAGGCTTCTGCAGGTGTGGCAAGAAGCTCTCTATGGCAGAGCCAACATTGCAAAACAATTACTAAAAAGTAAAGAGCTGTAAAATGAAGCCTTATTTGGTTTAACTTAATGTTTGGTTAAGAAAACCTATTTCAATGTTATGAAATCTAATTTACACACAGGGAGAATCAATATTGTGCTAAGATTTCAGGACAAAGCTGCTTCTGCACATCAGTGCCTACTGTGTATTGTACACATGCAACGACAGTGAATGAAAAAACAAAGCAAAGCCATATGTTTCTATCCAAATATCACACACACAAAACTCAAGCAGCATTGATGTGTCCACGTCTTTGTCCTGAAGAAACTCGAATTCATTATGAAGAAACTACAGTGGTGACATCCAATATGCAAAGTATCGCGCTGACTTAACTTGTAATCAAAATCTGCCAGCTCCAGTTGCTGTGGCTAGCATACTACACAGTGAAGAAACTGCAACTCACCTCACGCTGACGAGCTACAGATTAATAGTTGTGACCATTATTGAGCTAAAGAGATTTTGCAAAGCTTTGCCGAGTCCCTCCAGTTTTATCAGCTTACTCTACTTGCCATCGTTGCTGCACTCATAGGGTAGTTTCACAACATTCTTTAGGTCCATTTTTATCAGGAGCTAGGACAAGGCATCTGAACACCGGCAGAACTCAACGTTTATTCTGAGATGCTGGTTTTCCTTTCCAATATGGCCAGCTACCTGGCTGACTCAGAACAAGATAGTATACAAAGCCTCCTCTAAGATTTTAGGCACTTGACCACTCCAATTTGGATAGAAAGGACTATGAATACTTATGATCACCATACACGTTTGCATATAGCACTTTATAAACAAGGTGTAGCCATTCCAACATAGTACTTGAGTCCAGGTCTCAACATGAACAGCCGCACAATACACACTATTGTTATGTCACTTTCCTCTCAATTTAAATGGAGGCTGTGAAAACATATCAGCATCTGGCTCTTGGAAGCGGTATGGTCATCTTTATGACTTAAAGCGCTACAATTTGAAGAGAATCATTAAAAACAATTTGTAGAGTGCATGTCGCTTATACTTTTGCTTAAGTGAAATGAGACTCAAAATAGCGTGAAACAATTAAAATGGAAAATTAAATAGTACAAAACCCCACTTACCCTTCTTTGAACCAAGGTGGTTTTGATGGATCTCCATCATCTTGACCCTTAAATAATGAAAAAGAAACAAAGTTAGCTTCCAAAAGAAGAGAACCTGAAATAAATCAGCAGGATAAGGTTTGGGGAGAGGTGTAATGGAGCACACTTCATGCAGGTAAACGCACACAAACACTCCATTTCCAGAAACACCTCAAATGACTGCAGCAAGGCGGGACAGGTCATGGGGATACACAAACAGTTGATGGAATCTCATCAAACACCTAAAGAGGGACCAAAAGAGCCTGTTCAGTGCACTCCCCTTTCAAAAGGAGTCTCAGAAGAGCAACTCCAGCCTTCCCCACCCAGCCAAAGAATTCCTTATCGCTCTAGATCACCAGGAGTACATTTATATTTGAATATTATAAATTAAAAACAAGCTGTAAGAAATGCACAAATGAGGGACAGAATGAAGCTACAAACATAAGTGATCTTGATTTACTTAGCAGGGGAATACCTCAACCTACTGTGATTTTATTCATGCACAAATATAAAGGCCTTCCTAATCCACAAAACAAAAACTTCAGTTTGCTGTAGAACTCCACCTTTAAGTTAATGTGCAAAAGCTTTGTACTCCACAGGGTATACACGGACACTCCCTTTTTAATGAGGTGCCCAGCTGAGAACCAGGACAGCTGCAATCCCTAGGCACAATGGGGTAAACTATGGTCAGGTTTTCAGTATCACATCTGGCTTGTGTCAGTTCAAGCCACACTCTTACAGTAGTGTAAGGAACATACATTTGTGGGCAAAATGTCGTTTGACTTTGCTTCTATAAAAATTCCTCAATGGAATGACATAAGAATTGAGAAGGGTTTAAATATTTATTATGTACCTAAAAGGACCAGTAAAATTTGCTGTGCAGAGAGAAATTGTTTACTGTAACTATATCTGGAGAAAAAAGGTACCTTTATTGTCTGTTGCTAACCAACTCTTGGGGCTCATGCTAAGGTTGCCATGTGTCCAGTTTTTGACCGGACTACCCAGTCGAAAAGGGACCCTGATGTAGTAGTAACATAAGCCTGAAACATAAGCCCTTGTATCAGAGGCTGGTATGAGGCCTGAGATAAAGTAGTGGTCAAAGCTTTGCTGATATAAGGCAAAGTCAGGCTGTGAGCAAGAGGAAGGCCCTACTCACAGATTTTGGCAAGAACAGGGCTGATATTGCGAAAATGCACATTCCTAAGAGGTGCTAGCAGAGAGCACACACGCAAACACATTGCAGAAGGGTGGTACCAGAACACCCCAATACCAGCACGTTCTCCAAAGATAATAGGAACACGCTGACCCCTCCTAAAGATAAGGTCTGGATGACAGTGTGATGGGTGGTAACTGGCTATGTCAGAGGGGGTCAACTAACTACCTCAGAGGGGTAATATGTAACTTGTTTGTAACTGATGTATAAAATGGAGTCTCAGAGGGAGAGTCAGCCTAGGGGGGAATGGAAAGTCCTGCTATTCACTGAGCTGCGTCCATTGTCACGGGCACACGTCTTAGTATCCTTGTAGAGTCTGCCAGCTGCTATTACCATGCTTTGTCGACAATAAACCTGGCTGGGCGCCTTCGTATCTTAACGGATCCTGTGGTCATTGGGCAGTTCGACTTGAGGTCTGCTTTGCCAACTATCTGTACAGAGCTGGGACGGCACACAGAGAACACACACATGCAGGCAAACATCTAAACGCTTGGCAGCTCCAGTCAGCACGGCTGACCGGGCTGCTAAAAGTCTGGTCTGCAGCACAGTGGGGGTAAGGCAAGTTCCCTGCCTGCCCTAGCTCCACTCGGCTCCTAGAAGCAGCCGACATGTCCCTCCAGGTCCTAAGTGCAGGAACCATGGCCAATGGGAGCTGCAGGGACGGCACCTGCGGGCACAGGCAGCACGCGGGTGCAAGCAGCACGCAGCGCTCCCTGCCCCCTGGGCCTAGGAGCCGGATATGCCGCCTGCTTCCGGGAGCCGCCTGATACAAGCACCGCCGGGCCAGAGCTTGCGCCCCAAACTCCCTCCCACACCCCAACCACCTGCCCCAGGTCGGAACCCCCTCCTGCACCCTAACTCCCACCCCAGCCCTGAGCCCCCTTCCTGCACCCTAAATCCCTCATCCCTGGCCCCACTGCAGAGCCCACATCCCAGCCAGAACCCTCATCCCCTCTCACCCCCCAACTCCCTGCCCTAGCCCAGAGCCCCCTAAACCCCTCATTTCTGGCTCCACCCCAGAGCCCACACCCCCAGTGGGATCCCTCACCCCCCCCCTGCACCCTAACCTCTTGCCCCAGACCCGTGAAAATGTGTGAGGGTGGGGGAAAGTGAGCGATGGAGTGAGGGGGTGGGGCCTCAGACAAGGGGCAGGGCAGAAGTGGGGCAAGGGTGTCCAGTTTTGTGCGATTAGAAAGTTGGTAACCCTAGCTCATGCCCTTCCAGAACTTCATCTTCAAAGCTGAATAACTACTTTCTAATGGTAAGATTGGGGTATGTGGAAGAGATCATAACATTTAAGAGTGATTATTTTAGGTCAGTATGAATCTTAATTTGCTGACAGTATATAAATCACGTGTACAGAAAAGAAAAACATAAGTGTAAATCATTATCTTTGGAGATTGCAAAGATGGTTAGTATAACAGGCACCCTTTCTCTAAAAGTGGGTGTCCTCTCCAGAATCCACATCAATGTAAAGGGACATCTGTCAGCAAGTACATTCTAGTCAAATAATGGATAGAAAACAGAGGACAGCATCAGAAAGGAAGATTCTTCTGTTTCTTTCCTGTGGGCATAACATAGAAATTATGGACAGAATCACATACTTATGAAGAACCCTCCATGGAAAACCTGAAGGTACTGAGAAAACATAGCGAGTTTCCACTCAGTTTGAATCATCAACCTCTCAGGGCGAGAAGTCCAATTTCCTTACTGTTATTTATTATTTCTATAGCTCCATTGGCATGCATGACACTGTCTAGACAGAAAACAAGACTCCTATCCTGAAAAGCGTACAGTCTAACTTGGATTAAACAGATGAAGACAGGATGGAGGCAAATGTTGCATCAAAGTCAGACAGTTCAAACTAAGTTTGGCACATGCCTTGCTCATTCCATTGATTTAAATATATATAAGTTTTAACGTATCCCAACTTTGATGATACATGATTGTGAAGGCTTGCAGAACAAGCAAGAAGCAGGAGCTTCCAGCCCTACTGAAATCTGAAGATCAGTGGAGTTTCCTCACAGATCTTGGGGCATTTGCAGAGAGAAGGAGCATTCCTCTGAGGGGGCTATACCTCTTCACAACTTCCTGGGTGCCCCCGTTGAAGCCATGCCATCAATACCCTCTCACCTAAGCCATACCTCTACAGTCCCACTGAGGTGATCTGACAATGCAGAGTGAGGACACAAGGGGACCATAAAAATCTAGAGAACAGTATAAACAGGTATTTCCTTTCAAAGCGGAAAAACAGAGTACAGGAATAATTCCCACACTTTTCCTATAAACTTCAGGAGAAGATGCAATGAAGCATATAGTTAAATCAATAGGATTGTCAAGCCCGCTGAAGATATGAATTTAATGTTCTGGTAGCAGTAACACAGGAGTGAAAAAGCAATTTTTCCGCTGGAATCAAGGACCAAATGTGTTAAATGCAAATTAACAGTGGTTTATTGCTGAAAATAACTTCTCAGATACAGAGAGTGGTAGAAAAAGTATTTGACTAGCTCATCAGAGGTGTACTAAATATAATTAGCCAGTTTTCAAGAGATTAAAACACCAGCATAGATAGTGTCCAGAATATTTAATATTTCTAAAATCTGCCCGACAATAAGGGATTGGAAGCTGCATTTCCTGCAGCTAGGATTAGTTGAAGGAAGTTAGACGTAACTCAGGAGATGCTATCACAGCAGAGAGAGAACGTAACATATCATAATATACCCTACAGCACCTAGTGACATTTTGCAGAGAGTTACATTCGCCTGTCGAGGGCAGAGATGTCAGATTGCAGTGCTGTTAGAGTGGAATTACCAGAACTGATGAGCGCTGTCCCTTGAGCCTGGCAGTTTGTTGTCAGAAGGTAGCACTGCACCTTTCCCATGAAAGGGAAAGGGTTCAGCAGCCGGCTACGGGCCTGGGCCAGGCTGCTAGTTACAAGACAGTTCGAGTCAGTACAAAACACTTAGCCCTGGTCTACACTGGGAGGGGGTGTCGATCCAAGTTACACAACTTCAGCTATGTGAATAACGTAGCTGAAGTCGAGGTACTTAGGTCGACTTACCGTGGTGTCTCCACCGCAGTGAGTCGACTGCTGCTGCTCCCCCATTGACTCTGCCTGTGCCTCTCGCAGTGCTGAAGTACAGGAGAGCGCTCTGGGATTAATTTATCGCATCTAGATTAGATGCGATAAATCGATCCCCGCTGGATCGATCGTTGCCCGCCGATCCAGCAGGTAGTGAAGACATACCCTTAGGGTTTGGCGGACAGCAGTTGTTAGCTCACAGAACAGACAGCAGCTAAGGCAGCCAGACCTATCTCAAAGCCAGGAAGTCCAATACTCAACAGGGTGGGACCAGGAGACAAACTAAGTGACAAAGGAGAAGGCGGTTCCAAAGGATGGCTGGTATTTTAGCCATTGTTTCTCATGAACCAAGCAGGAAAGGAAAGGAAAGAAAAGGTGTACAATTTAACACCCAGAGTATCCACAACCAAAGCGTTCATGCAAAACCATTCAGGAATTATTTCTAGTAAAAAAAATTCAGCATTTCTGCCATCCTTACTTTCCTTGAGTTGTCTCTCACTCCTCAAGAAGCAACTTGGACTGCTGAAAGCTAGGAACCACTCAACACTGAAAGGGGTGCAAAATCCAGCCCGACTATTCATTTAAATCTGGACATTATCTTTCACTATTCATTTTGGTAAAGTGTATAAATGTATGATAATGTATTTCAATAATGGAGCATTAAACAGTTACTCAAGTACATAAAACTTGAATCATTACATCCCTGTTCATTTGGTTCTATACTTCTCATACTGACAGCCAATAATTTTACAAACCTGGGACCTGGTCCACCAAATACTTACCAGGTATAAGAGTAGCAGCCGTATTAGTCAGTATTCACAAAAAGAAAAGGAGTACTTGTGGCACCTTAGAGACTAACCAATTTATTTGAGCATAAGCTTTCGTGAGCTACAGCTCACTTCATCGGATGCTGTAGCTCACGAAAGCTTATGCTCAAATAAATTGATTAGTCTCTAAGGTGCCACAAGTACTCCTTTTCTTTTTGTGAATACAGACTAACACGGCTGTTACTCTGAAAACTGTAACAAGAGTGATCAGGTAAGGTGAGCTATTACCAGCAGGAGAGCTGGGGGGGGAGGGGGGGGAGCCTTTTGTAGTGATAATCAAAGTGGGCCATTTCCAGCAGTTGACAAGAACGTCTGAGGAACAGTGGGGGTGGAGGGGGGGGAATAAACATGGGGAAATAGTTTTACTTTGTGCAATGACCCATCCACTCCCAGTCTCTATTCAAGCCTAAATTAATTGTATCCAGTTTGCAAATTAATTCCAATTCAGCAGTCTCTCCTTGGAGTCTGTTTTTGAAGTTTTTTGGTTGAAGAATTGCAACTTTTAGGTCTGTAATCGAGTGACCAAAGAGATTGAAGTGTTCTCCGACTGGTTTTTGAATATTATAGTTCTTGACATCTGATTTGTGTCCATTTATTGTTTTACGTAGAGACTGTCCAGTTTGGCCAATGTGCATGGCAGAAGGGCATTGCTGGCACATGATGGCATATATCACATTGGTAGATGTGCAGGTGAATGAGCCTCTGATAGTGTGGCTGATGTGATTAGGCCCTATGATGGTGTCCCCTGAATAGATATGTAGGCACAGTTAGCAACGGGCTTTGTTGCAAGGATAGGTTCCTGGGTTAGTGGTTCTGTTGCATGGTGTGCAGTTGCTGGTGAGTATTTGCTTCAGGTTGGGGGGCTGTCTGTAAGGAAGGACTGGCCTGGCTCCCAAGATCTGTGAGAGTGATGGGTCGTCCTTCAGGATAGGTTGTAGATCCTCGATGATGTGTTGGAGAGGTTTTAGTTGGGGGCTGAAGGTGACGGCTAGTGGCATTCTATTATTTTCTTTGTTGGGCCTGTCCTGCAGTAGGTGATTTCTGGGTACTCTTCTGGCTCTGTCAATCTGTTTCTTCACTTCAGCAGGTAGGTATTGTAGTTGTAAGAATGCCTAATCACATCAGCCACACTATCAGAGGCTCATTCACCTGCACATCTACCAATGTGATCTATGCCATCATGTGCCAGCAATGCCCTTCTGCCATGCACATTGGCCAAACTGGACAGTCTCTACGTAAAACAATAAATGGACACAAATCAGATGTCAAGAATTATAACATTCAAAAACCAGTTGGAGAACACTTCAATCTCTTTGGTCACTCGATTACAGACCTAAAAGTTGCAATTCTTCAACCAAAAAACTTCAAAAACAGACTCCAAGGAGAGACTGCTGAATTGGAATTAATTTGCAAACTGGATACAATTAATTTAGGCTTGAATAGAGACTGGGAGTGGATGGGTCATTGCACAAAGTAAAACTATTTCCCCATGTTTATTCCCCCCCTCCACCCCCACTGTTCCTCAGACGTTCTTGTCAACTGCTGGAAATGGCCCACTTTGATTATCACTACAAAAGGCTTTTTCCCACCCCGCTCTCCTGCTGGTAATAGCTCACCTTACCTGATCACTCTCATTACAGTGGGCATGGTAACACCCATTGTTTCATGTTCTCTATGTATATAAATTTCCCCACTGTATTTTCCACTGAATGCATCTGATGAAGTGAGCTGTAGCTCACGAAAGCTTATGCTCAAATAAATTGGTTAGTCTCTAAGGTGCCACAAGTTATCCTTTTCTTTTTTACCAGGTATAGTGCTTACTACCACACATAAAACCATGGGACCACTTACAGTAGTGAACACTACACCCAGTAGCATTTACTTAAGCTGTAACTCACAATTCTCCTACCAACCAATAACCATGATTTTTAAAACCCATTTAATCTTCTATTCCTCGTAAACATTGCATCAACCAAGTTATCAGCATAAGTGAAAAACATATTGATATGTAAAACCACCATACATAAATGGTTGAAGAAGCACCACGGTTAAAATTATTTTTTTAAATGTGTCCTTACCTGTGTATAAGTACGTTAAATTATTAACATTGAAAAAAAATGCCAATGTCTAAATTTGTTTTTGTAAGGATCAGGAGGACGAAGATGCTAAGATAGGAGTGACTGTGTCAGCACCCCTACCGAACCTCCAAGTGTGTTTTCAGAGGCATTGGTGAGCTCAGACTGAGCAAAGTGGTCACAGTTATTAAACACTGGACCAAGATTCCAACTAACCTGACTTGATCACTCACGCATTTTTACACATGATGTTCAAAGTTACAGAAAAGCAAAAGGTGACTATTTCATCCACGCCCCCTGTATCTGCAAAGAAGCTTCACCATAATGTAACAATGGCATTAGCTTAAGCAACTGACTGAAAGGTTGTCATCCCAGGGGCAGCTGGAGGATAACCAAATTCAGGCAATTACAATTCTCTATGTGGCAGACTCAGCAGCTTGGCAGGTATCTGATGCTTTTACATGAAAGGAGGAAGATGACAGAGGATTTACCTCAGAGAAAATGTTACATACGAGACATTTCGTTTTTTATTTGTCATGTGCACTAATATGAAGCAGTTGATACACACGTGACTAAGCTAAAGCTTAAAGCTCAAACTTCTGAATTCGGGGAACTATGACACCTCGGGAGATTTGTTCCACATACAAGCCAAATGACCATGTGAGGTTCAAACTGCTGCAGGAAGCCGGTTTTGCTCAAGACACAGAAACTAATGAAAAGCAATTCATGCAACGAGTACCTAGCCCACATGGCACTGACTCAAAAAAACCCAAAGTGAGACATGAAGGAAACCAAAATGGCAACTGAAACAGGAATGAAAGGTTTTTAAGACAGGCAGAATTTCCTCTGCACTCGAAGTTAAGAATACACGCTAAGAAATTGCATAGCACTCCATGAAAAACTCCATAAATGCACTGGGGGTAGGGAGAGGAGAGAGGGGAACAAACATTTTTCAAAGATTTATCACACAGTTAAACCCAGTACCGTCTGTGTACTTGAATGACAGCAAGCAGTGACGCAAATCTCAGCATAGGTCCTGTGACTGGAGAGCAAACTGTTTCAGATTAGCAAATACATCTAAGTACAGATGGCACAGTTGTATCCTTTACACTGTATATTGGAACACAAGACACTGTAATTCCAAGGAAAATATACAGCACAGTAGCCAAGGAATTGGTATAGGAATCTACAGCAAACCTGTATTCCAGTTCATGTAATATTGCTTAAGCCCAGTGTTATTACAACCCATAAATGGTAGTTTCAGCTTTTAAATGCAATAATTATACAGAAAACATTGAGAGATTAATGAAGTGATGCTAGTGATGAAGAGTGTGGACTGGAACCATTCACTTTATCAAGAGGTGCAGGAAGTAAATGGGGTACTAGAAAACACTAGATAAAACACTTACATTGAACCCACTTACCCTTTGCTAATGTTGCACCTGTGTATACGCACACAGATCACAGAGTATCATTCAGGAATCTCTCAATCTATAAAGTATGAATATTTTTTCCTTAGGAGGTAACCCGCACTGAACAGACTCTTCTTTGCTCATACACGTTATTAGCAATTCCTCTGAAAACCAAAACATGCTAAACTCCGGAAGAATCTGAAAGCCTCAGCTGAAGCAACTGGTTACAATTAGACAGGGCATGCACACACATTGGAGCTTCAGAAAAGAAGGAGACACACTGGTTAGAATATACAGTATGTATAACCTGAAGTTCTCCTCTACTTCCTTCTGCAAAAAAAAGGGGGGAAGGAGAAGAACAGAGTTAGAGTAGAATTCTGCCATGGACTTTGCGACAGAACTTTGAAAAGTGGAATAAACCTTTGCTGAGAGTCCAAGAGCTGTTAGTGTGGTGGGAAGCTTTTCACATGCTTGTCTGGAACATTTACATACTAAGGTCGATTTAGCTAAAACATGGATAATTTTTAGTTAGAGCTTTAACATCGGGGTTCGTGTTCTTATGCATATTAAATTGTTTTTAAACAAACAAAAAGGCTTCAGTTCCCTTTTCATTAAAAAAAGACAAACTTTTTCATAATCCGATTTTCTTCTCAGAATTTTCTATCACACACTTTACATGCTTGCCTGGCGGATAAGGCCAAAGAGGCAAGACCCTCTTAAACAGTGCCAGGGTGATTAGTCTGGACTTGACATACTCCTAGGATAAGTCTATCTTCTGTTATTAATTGTATTTAGATCAAATGCCTAAGCAACAGCAGGCTGAAGAAAATCAAGAGGGGTAAAATGGTCCCATTTATTAAAACTGCAGTGAACATTTTTCAAACTTGCATTTTTCACCTACTGTTTCCCCCTGACGTAAGGTTACTGAATTTTGCCTGCAAGTGCACCAGCACAGCTTCCCCAGGTAGTGTTGACCTTGCTGGAGAGGCCCTTTTATCTTTTCCATAAAGGCCATTTTCAGTTAGGTGGCACCATCAGCTATTAGCATATTGCCAAAGGTTGGCTCTCGTGAATGAGCCACTGCAGAGTCATTACGCTATGAAACATATGCAAATACACCTGTATGTGTGAACATGGGGGAGTGAGAGAGCGCATCCATCAGTCTGCTGTGTTATTTACCAACGTTCCTTCATATCCCTACCTTTCTTTCTACTCTTTCCCCCAATCTTCTCCTAGCTGCACTTCTCCATCCCTCTTTCATCCTCTCCCTCTCACCTGAAAACAACACTAACTCAAACAGCCAGTGCCTCCTACCTCATACAGCTAACAGCAACAGAGCTCCCATCCCTACCTACACACCCAGCACGAGACTTGCAACAATGATTCAGAGTTCTGCAGGGTAAGCACCATCTCATTGCTCAATACATTCTGGGGTGCTTTCAAGCCCAGGAAGCATTACAAACTCGGAATCTCTGAGAACCCGTACACCTGGTGTGCTTACAGAGCGTGCAACCTCAAGGAGTGGCAGTGCAATGAAGCCAGTAAAGATCCCTTCCAGCAAAGATGGGATGGAAGCTTTAGGATGTTTGGGTACAGTGTTCCTCTCCCCATGCCACAGCAGGCTAGAGCTCTATCCTGGAGGACAAATATCTCTTTCAAAATGGGGTCCAGAATAGCAGGCAGTTACCACTTTCTCAGTCTTTTCAAAGATGCTGCCATTTTCCTGCGTAACTTGTATTACTTTACTACCAGACAGAGAGCAGGAATTTCACACGTACACAGATAACTTGCACCATTTATCCCAGAAAGAAGGTGCATTTCTTATTTCTCTCCCCTCACTTCCCAGCTTCTTCATCCTAATGATAGAACGCATTCTATGTCAGAGGGTTTAGGTAGAGCCTAAGGATGGTTAATGGGGTCTGCAACAGCCTAGTGCTGGCCTTTTCGAGGCAGGCTACAAGATTCATCTGCTTTCCCTGGCTTTTCTAGGACCGGTTTCAGAGTAACAGCCGTGTTAATAAATTGGTTAGTCTCTAAGGTGCCACAAGTACTCCTTTTCTTTTTTCTAGGACCGTGGCTAGGCACTTTATAAACGGGGGGAAATAAATACTGAAATCAGGAAACATGCTTCCTCCTTTCCTAATTTTTCTGTTAATCAGAAAATGGCAACAACTGTGTAATGAGATATTCTTGGTCACAGAAAAGCTGAAGCTTCAAGAGGAATTTCTTAGAGAGTATACTCCTTTAGGTGTCTGTGTATTTATACATTTGATTTAAAAGACCAAAGTCTTCCTTTCTTCCTACCCTTTCTTTTTGTCTGTCAGCAGAAAATAGCAGTCTCCATTGTGTAAATTTTACTTTGTGACTTTTTCTAAGCAAAGACCATTTCTGTTTTTAATAAGATTTTTATTTTATGAAAAAAATCTGAGGGTTTCCTACAGCGAAACTAGGCTCCCAAAAATAAAATAAAGCAGTACTGTACTTTAAAAGACCATTCCAACATTAGTGAAGTTTTGCAAGAGTCATGCAAACTTTTAGAGATTATTTGCACTTCTAGTTCACAGTGATTTGTAGGTATACAAAGAGCCATTTCACAAACCTTACAGTGTAACAGTTCTGTGTCTGTATGAAGGAATCAAATGACTTTAGAGAAAACAAGCACTAAGTCAAGTCCTCATAGCAACTAGGGGCAATCAGTTGAATAGCTAAAACAATTTGTAAAATTGCTCTATATAGGGTGTAAATTACATATGTGTGATCACTAAGAGTATTAAAATAGACAAGCTACTTTTAACTCAATCACTGAAAGTAAAATCATTTTATGCAAATGACAAGCAAGAATGCAGCTAAAACTTATGCTTTTAGCAGAGTTTCTGGATCAGGATATGTATGGCTACAAAATCAAAATATTGCAACAGAAAAATTTAATGCACAGACTTCTATACAGTTTTCAATTCAAATAAAATGTTAATTTAGTTTTAGGCTATGTTTGAGCAACTACCCTTGATGGACTAGCTAAAAAAAAATCTGTGTGTGTAAGATCATTAGAGTCTTCACAAGCATAATATTCAATGGCGTTTTTATCTTAATGTTGACTTTATGGAAACCAAGATGGACACCAGTATGAGCATATGAATTTATCCAGCTCCTTGAATCTGCATCACAAAACACTGACACAGTATCTCTGAGATCTTCACAGGCAATGCACTGTAATACACTGCAACAGTACAATATTATTACCCCAGTTTTCAGGAATGATCCTGGTTGCCATAAGCTGGTGGCACAAAGTATATTGTATCGCTAAAATGTCATGAAAGTTTAAAGACATTGGGCCATTGCGAAATATCACACCTGATCCGCTAATAATCTGACAAAACTGGGATAACCAATTCTAACAGCTGGACTAATTTGTTGCTTTTACTGGGCCACAAAGAGGATAACTATATATTTTATACACATAGAACTATTAAAAGATTTTTATTACAGGTTGCAAAATCAAGCACTCAAAGGTTAGTAAATTCTAGAATTCAGCTCTTTAGTGCAAATGCATTATGATACAGCCTCTAATTACATGATCTCAAATTATTTTTTCTACAGGAACAGTGCCTCGTTGAGTACACAGAATGGACCAGGTTCTGGACATGAATACAAGGTATGCAGTGAAGGGAAGCTGTTGTCTGTAGGACCCCTGCCTCATTTGCCATAGAAGATGGAATGTGTGTAATGAATAAGACAGGGGATGGAAGGAGGGGAAAGGATGGTTTCCCAGTTAAGATAACTAAAGGCTGCCTTGGAATACTGGATTCTATCCCTGTCTCTGTCACGGAGTTCCTCATAGACTTGGGCAAATGACCCTTTTTCTTTTTGGTTTGGTGGACAAACAGAATTTTTTTTTAATTTAAATTAGTTTGGGGCCTACCCAAAATAAAATGTTTTTTTTTTTCTTCAGTGAACCAAAAAAAGTTGTTAAAAAAATTGTAGGGATGTCAATTAATCAGTTAACTCACGTGATTAACTCAAAAAAATTAACCACAATTAAGAAAATTAATCACAATTAATCACAGTTTCAATTGCACTGTTAAACAATAGAATACCAATTGAAATATATTAAATATTTTGGATGTTCTTCTACATTTTCAAATATAGTGATTTCAATGACAACACAGAATATAAAGTGAACAGTGCTCACTTAATGTCATTTTTTATTACAAATATTTGCACTATAGAAACGATAAAGAAATAGTATTTTTCAATTCACCTCATACAAGTACGGTACCATCTCTAGTGTGGAAGTGCAACTTAGATTTTTTTTTTTTTTGGTTACATAACTGCACTCAAAAACAAAACAATGTAAAACTGAGTCTACAAGTCCACTCAGTCCTATTGCTTGTTCAGCCAATCACTGTTCTGTGACTTTCCAGGACCTCCGTGACTTCTGCAGTGGCGACCCAAGGGCCGCCTGAGCAGCTCGGGCAGCCCTTGGGCCAACTGCAATGGCCACTGCTGGGGCAGTTTCAGGCCCCCCAGCAGCAGCAGCAGTTTGGGTGTGGGAGGGGGCTCAGGGCTGGGGGTTGAGGTGAAGGATGGGGTAAGTGCTCTAGGCGGCACTTACCTTAGGGGACTCCTCAAAAGTGTCAACATGTCCCTCCCTCAGCTCCTAGCACCGCGTGCTGCCTCCGCCCGCAGGCAATGCCCCTGCAGCTCCCATTGGCCACAGTTCCTGGCCAGTGGGAGCTGCGGAGCCGGTGCTTGGGCTGGAAAGCGCATGAAGCTAGGAGCTGAGGGAGGGACATGTCACTGCTTCCGCAGAGCTGCAAGGAGCTGGGTAGGGAATCTGCCAGCCCCACCAGCCCCCTCCCCTCAGCACAAGTGGGGGGTCCCGAGCCATGTGCTGCCACCCGCCCCCCCAGACCAAAAAGAGTCCAGCGGAGGGCAACAAAAATGATTAGGGGACTGGAACACATGACTTATGAGGAGAGGCTGAGGGAACTGGGGATGTTTAGTCTACGGAAGAGAAGAATGAGAGGGAATTTGATAGCTGTTTTCAACTACCTGAAAGGGGGTTCCAAAGAGGATGGATCTAGACTATTCTCAGTGGTAGCAGATGACAGAACAAGGAGTAATGGTCTCAAATTGCAGTGGGGGAGGTTAAGGTTGGATATTAGGAAAAGCGTTTTCACTAGGAGGGTGGTGAAGCACTAGAATGGGTTACCTAGGGAGGTGGTGGAATCTCCTTCCTTAGAAGTTTTTAAGGTCAGGCTTGACAAAGCCCTGGCTGGGATGACTTAGTTGGGGATTGGTCCTGCTTTGAGCAGGGGGTTGGATTAGAT